AGTGTTGTACTGTAGAGTACTGTGATGTGTAATAGAGCAGTGTTGTACTGTAGAGTACTGTGATGTGTAATAGAGTAGTGTTGTACTGTAGAGTACTGTGATGTACTGTAGAGTACTGTGATGTGTAACAGAGCAGTGTTGTACTGTCGGGTACATAAGACTGTTTCATGTTGCATGCAGCTGCACACTCGTCCCAGCAGGGGGCAGACGTCCTTCATCATTCATACGGACTTTTTCCACATCCTGCTGGAAAAACTTGACCGCGGTAAAGTTGTGTACTTGTAGCTGGATGTAGTTTCCTTTGTAGTTCTTCGGAGTAGACAGTGTGATTAAGAAGCAGCACGGAAGCTGCTCACGGAAGCTGCTCACGGAAGCGTTTTTGGCGGGCTTTGTGCTCTCAGTTTAGGGGGAGACGGAGTTTGAGACTCTACCAGAGACCATGCAGCAAGTCCGGGACACCCTGGCTGACTTGGCCGAGCAGGGCACGACCTACCTGGGCAGGCTGGTGCAGAAGGTAAGAAGCGGAAGTAGTCCGGTTTCCGTGGAGCGGATTCTCGGCATCCAGTTTTGAACTTGTGTGTACACGATCAGGTTTTATCACCACACTAGCTCTGATTAGAAACCATAATATTTCGACATAAGCAGTTTAGGTTCAGAGAGGGGTCTGTTCGCTCTCGCTGACAGTCACATCAATGAACTTTGGCCGTTTCTCTGTGTTCTTACCCTCACTGTTGTCTGAAACAAACCTGCCTCTGCAGGCTTTCTCTCAGGTCCTAGCTGTGGTTGCAGGCAGCGTGGCCGGTGCTCTCAATGTCCTGCTGCACTACGTCTCACAGTTACTGCAGGCCTCTGGGATCCAAGGTGAGCATCGTTTGTTTCTGGGAAATGAGCAGCTTTGTATGAAATGTAATTTCTGGTGCTTTTTTCCACAGTTAGCCTTCCTACCAACAAAGTGACCCCAGAGGGCCTGATCTTCGTCATTCAGTGGGTCCTCGCAGCTCTCATCTGCTACTGGCTGATTTCTCTTGCCTTCCGATTTGTTGCCTCCACTCTGATGTGCGCCCTGTGGTTTCTGAAAGTCGGAGTCGCTTTAACCTGTTTTGTGCTCATCCTGAGCGACTACAACGTGGGCACGGAGGTGATGGCCATCCGACTGGCTGTCCTGCTGTGTGTCTGCGTCCTGCTGGACGTCGGGACTTGGGGAAGTTCCAGTGCGGCTAATCAAACTGCTCGCCTCGAGAAGCAGGTGACGATCCTGGAGAGACGGCTGAGGGAGATGGAGAGGTGGATGAGGACAGAAGAGTGACGGAGAGAATCTTCTGACATCCAAGTCAAACGACAGTCGCCCGAGGATCTCTGCATTTAGGATTGTTCTTCAAATTCACAGAAAGCACGGCACATTCCCAACAGACTGCTGAGCGGGAGCAGATCGAGCTCGTCGACGAGTTGATTGGATGCAGCTCCCTCCCAGATACGCCCACATATTTGGATGAAGTTTAATGAAAAACACTTTCTCCTCTTCCACCGTTCCTCTCCCTAAACACAGTGCTCTCCCAGAGCCCAATGCCTCACCCCAACTTCTGTTAGATTTGCCCTGCGAGCAGCAGCTGGTGGAGGCGCTCGTTACACCAGCAGCTGCATCGACTGGCTCTGGCTCCTCTACGTGTGGTCCTGTCAGATCACAGAGGCATTTTCTTCTCACTGAATGTAGCTGCACTTCAGCTGCAGTGAATCAGGAGGAGGTGCAGGACAAGCTGACACATCGATCAGGTGATGGACTCCTAATCTCAGGCCTGTTTTCAGTCATTCCACTAATAAATAACTTTTCAAAAACATGCGCTGCTTTTTCTTTTCACCAAGTAAAACAACAAGTTTGAGCATGACGTCGCGTCACACAGTCTCTCGCTCAGAGTCGTGCTGGAAGTAGGGCCTTGGTTCTGGTTGGACTGGTGCATGTCTACTTGTACTTTAACTATATTTAAAAATGGGGATGTTGAACCTGCAGCGTCTGAGCTACCTGCAGCGTCTGAGCTACCTGCAGCGTTAACAAAGAAACAGATGAAGATGATGAATGGTGCTGGACTGATGTAAATGTAAGGTCTGCTCCTGAGTCTCCCAGGCTCAAATCCCAGCTGTGGAGGAAAAGGTGCAGGTAGCGTGGACACCTTCAGGATGTCTGATCTGCTGCAGTCCCAGCCTGTCATTTGTGTTCATTTTTTAATCAGCGTAGGCTCTTTTGAATCATTTGCACAGGAACAGATGGGACCTGCACCTCTTGACTGTTTCACAGACAACCATCACGTACTGAGAGTTTTTCCTCCACGTCACAAATGTTCCATTGTTCTTGTGATGGGTAAATAATAAGTAAACAGCTCTAGTTATGGCTGTTTTGTAGCTTCAACACAAACGTGGAAATGTTGTAATCAAGGCACCAAATAACGATAAATGCGCTGCAGGATCGGTGTGGTGAAAGAGTTGTACTGCCATCTGTGACATGAGAATAAACTCATTTGTTACAGACGTGGAACAAATGGCTTAAATGAGCATTTTGGGTCCAAGCAGTCCCTGCTGCAGAGTCGGGGACAGTCATCCTCCATGAGGGTGGGGTTGTCCTGGCAGTGACGAAGCAGGGACCTGGTGGAGCAGGCTGGGCAGCCTGGCCTGTGATGGAGTGCTGGGTGGGGAGCGTGCCCCTTCCTCCACCGCTGAACACGTGCTTCACGGAGCTGTGAGGTGGGTCAGGGCTGGGACAGCTCTGCTGCTGGGTCAGACTGGCTCGTTCGTGCATCCGAGGGACAGCAGGTCACAGCACAGGAGACTGCTGCCTGCTCTTATCACTCAGCCCCCCCGCCGCAGACATCATCCTTATTCATGGTGCTTTCTTATCTATACAAATAATAAGACACAGTAGTAACACATCCTAAGACAAAGGCCAACTTCTGCTCTCCTTTCCAAAGAGAAAATCCACAGGCTGCCGTGTGGGAGGAGGGACCAGGAAGAGGTTTATCGTGGTCAACGCTGTCGTCCTAATCCGCTCTTAGGGGATAGAGGCTTAGTGGGACCTCAGGTTAGGTTGATCACAACTTGTCTCAGACACAACCATCCACACGAGCAAGGCATTCATTGGTTTGCACGCATGAGTTATTTCACCCTCAGAAGTCTGTTCTCTTCTTAGTTGTGCCGGATTCATTGAAGCAAACGTTTCTGTGGGCAGGTGTAGAGGCAGCAGCTCTGTGGACCTCAGAGAGCACACCTGCCACACTCCAGCTACACACTAGCTGTTTCTTTCTTTGTGTTTCTTTAATTCAACCAAGACTTCTGAAGATGAAAGACCGCCTGGCTCAGCTGAAGGAGGTAAGCAGGACTGTGCCGCTGTTTGCCTTCTCGTCGATGGCGCCTGCGTTGTTCGCACGGGGCCTGACTAGTCTGTACTATAGATGTCATGGTGCGAGGCGACTGCCCCGCTGTGGAGCTCAACTGAATGTCAGAGATGTTAGCCGCAGACGTGAAACTCAAACTCATGTTTCCAAAAGATACAGGAACTGCTTTCTTCTCATTCTTTTATATTCTGACTGAATTTTTATTGAAATCAGTAAGTCCTCATCAACCTTTCTTTAATGTGAGGAGCTGCTAATCACACAAACGACAATTAATCATCGTTTATTTTAGACGTGTCAGGCACTGATTCAAAGTGCAGCTGGTGTCATGTGACTCACACACAGGAAGTCGTTTCAGGCTCAGTACAAATGTTCTTGTCTTATCACAGAGACAGAAAACGTCAGTTAATAGTATGTGTGTGTGTGTGTGTGTGTGTGTGTGTGTGTGTGTGTGTGTGTGT